GCCCAGCCTCCAGCCCACCTGCCTTCCCCCTCCAGGGACCACTTTCCACTTTATCACTCATGCCCAGTATGTGCCAAGACATTGGCCAACAAGCCTTAGGCGGGCCCTCCCCAGGGACCCACGTGTTGAAAGGCTTGTCCCACCACAGGCAGGACAGGCTGGTCACCCAGTTGGCCTGTGACTCCCCCACACCAGGGCTTGGTCAAGGAAATGGCTGAGGAGGGGCCAGTTACCTTTAGAGGCTTCCCCAATCCTCTTAGTGTTGTTTATTGAAAAACTGTCAATTCCCTGTGGGTTGGAAGAACCACCTCAGTCATAGACCAAGTCCCCAGCTATGCTTGTGTCGCAGTGGGTGAGCCCTCAATGCCCCCTCCTCAGTCCCTCTGCCGGCTCTTGCCCATCTGCTGTTGCATTATAGTGTGTCGTAGTATGTCATAGGGCCAGTTCACGCCCACCTCTTTCCATCCTTCTGGCCATTTCTTCACGTCAGTTTTTCCCCATTATTTTAAAATCAGCTCAGTTACTCCCCCTCCCTGCCACCCCCCTCAAAAAAATTTGAGTTGTGTTAGAATTATAGATTGATTTAACAAGAATAAATACCTCTGTCACATTGAATACCCCTTCTTTGTTCACATAGCAGGAACCATTCAGTTTGATCCTAAATGTTGTGTGGGTATTTATTAATAAGACAGAGTCATTTTATCTAGGAAAGCCCTCATTTGGGTCTCACCCACCACTTATCACTCTGAGCTCACATCTCAGTCTGTGGATCGCAGCCAGTGGTGCTGTCTGCATGTAGCCATTAGGATGGAAAGGACCGTCTCTCACCCAGAGGGCCCTCCACTATTCCTCCAGCACCTGGAGACCCCTGAGTGATGGTGGCCTTCACATCTGTGCATCTGTGAATTTTAGATCTTTTACTTATGAAATAGTTCAGGCCTACAGGAAATCATCAGCTGCTAAGAGCTCTATCCAGATTTGACAGATACCATTTTTCCCCCGTGGCAACATTACATGCCCTCCTTTAAAACAACAGAATAGATATAAAATACTGTCGATGACCTGGAATCCCTCCACCCTCTTCCCTCATCCTCCTTCTCCCAGGTAAGATTCATGTGTGGAAGATGATGTCTGTCCCTGTGATCACACTGCACATAGATAAGTCATTTGGGTGTTTTCAAGGTGCATTTATGTTACATGGTCTTTGAAGGTTTTCCTGACTTAAAGGTAATAAGTGTACACCCAATGGGAAAATCCCTCTGTAGAAGTTCGTAGCACTCTGCTTAAGAACGCAGCTGTTTACAGTAAGGCAAGGATCACTTCCGTTGCATGTAACAGAACCACACCTCCTCTGAGCTGCCTGACAGAGTTCTTCCCAGTGGGAACTAAATTGAATGGCGTGTTTGTCATAATACACTGCTCTCTATCCACAGTTCTTCATTTTGTTAAAAAAGAAACCTTAACTATCAGTAGCTGGACGGTGTTTCAGCAGGGACACCACCCCTGTTTGTGCACAGAGCCTCAGGCTTCTGTATGTTTGATGGGGTTTGATGGGGGCTGATGGGGGCTGCCGCCTGCCCCTCCCCCCAACCAGCCTGGAGGAGCAGCTGCCAACTTGGAGCACAGATGAGACAATGAAAGGAAGTGTCCCCGTAAACGTCTCCTATAAGGAAAGGTGGTTTTTCCATTTGCTTTCTCCCTGAGCAATCTGACTTCCTAATTCCGTGGTCCTGATTGTTGCATATGGTCCTGTGTAAACCACATGTTTGTTCAATGACAGCCACAGACGGGAAGTCTGATTCCCATCAGCTTCCCCAAGGCAAGGGGCTTCTCACCCAGCCCAGCACAGGCTGCCCAGTACCTTCTGGACCTGAGTAAGAGGAGGAGGAAAATGGGCCCTGCATGGTGGCATCCGGCCCTGGACCTGCTCAGCCTCCTAAACTCCTGTCCCAACACAGCTGTCCTTATGCACTGTGACAGAGGAGTGGCAGGTGCTGGCTGGCCTCAGGACAAGGCTCTCCATCCCAGTCCCACGTGAACCTTCGGGAGGCTGTGGGCATGAGCCTGTGGGAGAGAGAACACACAGGAGCTGGCCAGAGCCGATTCCTTTTCACCGGGCGTTCCATTGAGTTCCATTGGACGGTAGCAGACCAGGAAAAATAACCAATTTACTACTTTTGAATGGAATCAAGATTTTATTTTTATATTAAACTCACTAAGAATGTAGCAAAGGGCATGTAAATCCCTACAGTATTTATTATACGCTACAGAAGCTGACTGGCCTGGATAAAATGGTGGTATTGGAGGATTGATGGTAGGTCAGTTAAAACATAGACAGGCAAACATGTTCCTTGCATCCTGTTTGGGATCCAGAAGTCAAACTGGGCAGAGTTCCAAGGACTTATCCAAGGACATGCTCTGCAGGTGGGGAAACTGAGGCTGGAGATGAGCTCCAGACTGGACGTCTGAGAGGGCCAGGACAGAGACCTGGTCTGTGTCAGTGGCACGGTCCTTCTCACTGCTCAAAAGGACAGTGGGGAAACATTTCTTAAATTTACCTTCTTCTGACTCTGTCCCTGCGAGACAGGGATCCACAGCTTGATGAAATAGGCCAGCTGGGTTTGCATTGAGCAAACACTGGGGGTAACGGGAGCTCTGACAACCAAGAGGAGGAGTGAAAGCTTGGGACTCGTTCCCCTGGTTCCCTCGGCGAGCTCCTGGTCTTGCCTTCAGCCTGTGGTCTAACAGGTGCTGCCCCCTGATGCTGAGCTCTTGGACTCCAGTCATCTTGAAAGACAGCTAGTTCATCTCTTTGATCTTATTTCTTTGGAAGTGCCTGTGATGCCATGCAGTGGTGTCCAGGGCCTACCTAGATGCCCATATCACAGTGTTAGGCCCTCAGTTGCTCTGTCTGAAGGGAAATTCACGCTTTTGACCCATTGGCCCTCTCTCTTAATTTGTGAATTGGGGCAGAGGCATAATTTGGAGGTGCAGAGAGAGGACAGTCACAAGAAAACCCCCATTCCTCCTCTTTCTCACTTGCTTTTGATGTTATTGTTGCTGAGATTTTGCTAATTTTTAAAGCCTTTTTTCTTTTCGGTTTTTACCCTGTGTCTTGAGCTGTCGAATCCTGTCTGTTAAATCCTCAGGACGTTACAAACTTCACATCACCTACTTTGCTTCTGGTGAAGGAGATCCTTGAGAAATGCAGCCATGAGTGTTTGTCCATGTGGCCTGTTCTTCTCCTAGAAGCATCTGTGTGCCAGATGCACCTGGTTCTGGGTATGGGAAGTGCGTGTCCGGCGTGGGAGGGCTGAGGAGGGCTCTGGACACGAGATGCCACGGGAAGTTCCCATTATATCACTTGTTACCTGAGCAACAATAGTCTTCATCAGAAGGCAGTCTTTGGCTTTTACAGATGATGATGGCATTTGCTGTTTTGTGAGGGGATGGTCTATCTAAATTTTAGAAAAGATAGCTTTTTTCAAAGAGAGTTGCAAGGGAGTGGTTGGTAGGTACCCTCATGGAATAAAAGAAATTCCAAAATCTCTTGAACAAAGAGGCTTGTTCTGGAATTCCTAGTACATTTGATCAGGCACAAGGAATTTTATTTTCCCTCAGCTTCCCTGAGTTCATGTATTTGCATTTGTTATTAAGTAAAGTAATGATTCAGTGTTCTGAGAAGAGGGTCAGAATGTTTTGAATCTATCCTTATATTTGACAGCTATCTGTTGAGCTTTCCCACATCCAGCTGCCAGGATGCAGAATGGAAGGAGAGCAGTGTGCAACCAGGATTCACCAGGCACGCATAGCGTGGGGACATGCACGTGTGCAAGGAGTGATTATGGCTGGGTTACAAGAACTCGGTCACTGTGTTTGATCAGAGGACACAGGGGATCTGAGGAGGGGAACAGTGGCAGGCAGCGGGTTGTGGAACTGGGGGTTAGGACAGGGGTGAGTGGGGAAGACTGTGTGCTGGAGGGAGAGGTTGCAGTCGGCGGTGACAAGGTGACTGATGTAGAGCAGAGGACAAGGTCATTGGGATGATGAAGTAAGGAACTAAGAGACCAGGTGACAGTAGGGCCCTCTGCATGGAAATTCAGGGATGATGTAGGTAGTGCTCTGTTGTGCAGGAAGGAGGCCGTGACACCACACTCGTGGGGAGGGACTCGGGTCGTGGGGGTGGCAGCAGCATCAGAGCTGAGGTCTTTTCCGGAGGAGGAGCGATCGCTGTCTAGAAGCCAGGAGGAAAGCAGGCTGCAGAGAGCGGTGGGGGTGCAGCGCCCACCAGAGAACTGCACTTAGGGAAGATGCTGAGGAGTCGGGAGCTGTCACCAATTCCTCAAGGAAGGGCACTCCCAGAGGACACCATGGGAGGTGCTTGGAGCAGCCTAGCTGCTGAGGGAGTGGGCGCTGGACTAGGCAGGTTCACAGTGGGTGGGAAGAGAGTCCCAGAATGGAGGACCCTGGGGTGCTGGGGTGAGCAAGTTCAGGGCATGGCCGGGTTAACCCCATGGCTTTTGAAGCAGGTGCCAGGGCGGGGAGGGTGGGAGAGCAGGGATGGGCGTTGGGCCAGGAGCAGGCAGGCCTCTGAGGTTCTGCTTCCCTCCTCTGCCCTTGGGAGGTAGAGTGCCTGCCAGGCCCGTGGCTCCTCTTCATCCTGGGGGGAGTGCGCGGTGGAGCGTGACCAGGAGGCATGGTGATCTCATTCGCAAGACAGTTCCAGGATGACATCTGATGACACCTAGAGCATTTGAGACTCTTAAACACTGCCCTTCCACCCCAGAGGCCATTTAGACTGTTATAATTACAGTAATAACTAAGAGGCTTAATTGAGGGGGATCACCTTGGCTCACAATCAGCAGATGTTATTGAGGTTCCAACTCACACTGTAAATTAGGTCTTTCTCCTTCTCCTCCTCCCAAAATGTGATTGGGAAGCTGACAGCATCACCGCCTCGTCCAGCGTAATCAACACGTCCTTTTCCCATTTCCTTATAGTGAGGAAAGTTACAACGTCAACGATTATTCCTTAAGAGATCAGCTGTTGGTGGAATGTTGTGACAATGAAGACCTCAATTCCTCTCCAGGGAAGAACAGTTCCACCATGCTGTATTCACGACAGAGCTCCGCTAGTCACCTCTTCACCCTGACGGTCCTGAGTAACCACGCAAATGAGAAAGTGGAAATGCTGCTGGGAGCCGAGACGCAGTGAGTATATGCCGGGAGGTTGGCTGGAAAGGGAGCTCCTGTTGTGTCTTCAGCTGAGTACCTACTGTGTGTGAGCGGGGCACCCATTACATTGTTGAGTACCTAGTGTGTGCTATGTGAGGAGGGCACCTGTTATTTTGTCAAGTACCTGCTGTGTGCTATGTGAGGAGGGCACCTGCTATGTTGTAGAGTACCTACTATGTGCAAGCACAGACCCATTATGTTGTTGAGTTCCTACCATGTGTGAACATGGCACCTGTTGTGTCATTGAGTACCTACTGTGTGCAAGTGTGGCACTGGAGACATTTCCCCTTTGTGATCCTCTCAGTATGTCAAAGGAGGGATGTTATTTTTGCCCCTGTAAGTTCCAGCGGATACATTGTGCTTTTCAGTTGGTGTGGATTTTATGTCTATAGTGGGTTTTAAAATCATTTTTTTATTGATGAAAGTATGAAGCCTCAGGCTTAGGGAATCGTGCTCAGTGGTAGTTTAGTCCACACTGTAAGTCTTTTTCCTGGTGCTGAAGTCTTTCCTGTCACCTGGCTTTGGTCCACAGAATGTCCAGCTCTTCTGTCAGGAGAGGCACCGGGGTGGAAAGGGCCTGTGGACCCTGTGTAGAGAGGCAGAGCCACAGGGGTGTTCTATGTCACCAGTTGACCATGCGGCCCACCCAGCCCTGGCGATTTGGTCCACCTGGCGATTTGGCCCCTTGAGGGACAGCCAACCAGTTCATTTGCCTGGGAGGAAGCCTCCCTGCAGAAGTCCTCCCGGGCAGGTGTCAAGGAGGGTCAGGTGCAGCTGAGGAGGAGCTCCCTCCCTCCTTTGTTCTCTCAGGTTCCCACCTCTGCCAGGGCCCCCAGGTGGGGTGGGTGGAGTGGATGGTCAGCTGGTCGATGACAGGCTGAGACTAGCAGACTAGGGTTATCTCAGAGAGATCTCCACTCTTGAGAGAGGTCTTACCGTGTTCCTGAGTATGAAAGAGAGACATTAGGAAAGTGAAAATCACAAGACGTCCACATACAATGTTACATGGTCGTTTCCTTACTGTTGGCAGTAGGAGTTAACTTCTAGGGTGGAGAAAACCGGGGGTTCAGGCTGAGGCAGGGCTGAAGGAGATTCCCCATGCACTTGAGGCAGGCTTGAGGAGGAGCCTCTCCCCGACAGGCTTCGTTACAGAGCACACACGTCTTTCCTGGGGTCCCCGGGCTCTTCCCCAGGAACTGTGAGAGCCACTCTGCTGCTCCTTGTCCTTAGGTGACCTGTGTGGGACATGCCAGGGCAGTGCTTCATCTCCACAAGTGACTGAAGCCTTTAGCCAGGAGAGAGAGAGCCAGGCTTCCTTTGTTTGGGGGAATCTCTTTTAAAATTGGAATTAATAACATCTGAGCTTTGGATTTTATGACTTTGAGGATAAAAAGGCTTAACCACTTTGGAGGTTAGGACTGGGTGGACCTTCTAGAGAATTCTCAGGAACTAGAGAAGCCCCTACTCAGTTGGTGATGGTGAAAGTCCCTGGGTCTGTTTACAGGGACCCTTTGTTCTTCATTCAGGCCCCACTGACGTCGGCAGGGTGCGCCTGACTGTCCCATTTATAATGGATGAAATCCCACCACTTGTTTCTTGGCTTGCTCCGAGGAGGTGACTGGCATGTCTGCTCCTTTCTATGACAGTTTGGCTTTCCTGGGACATTCTCACATTTTCTGCCCTCTCGCTTTGGAGTGGTTTGTTCATTTCCTTAATCAGACATGCTCTCAGAATATTTAGCATGTCATCTGTGAGCCCAGGGCTATGACTCATATTTGTAAGTTCTTTAATTACTAGCAAGAGAACATTCCAGAAGGGGCAGAGGTCTCCCTGGGTACAAAGGAGGGGAGCTGTCATTCTCCTCCCCTCCTCTACCCTCAATGGCAGTTGAGAAACAAATGCTTATAAGACACAAAAAAGGCTCTGATAGCGAAAGGAAATATATTACAGCCAAGATGTGCTTTTCTGGGGAAAAAAGGGGGGTGCTGTTTGAAAGCATAGGAAGTTGTATGTCATGATCAGACATCGGCAGGCCAGTTCTGCATCTTTCTTTTTTTCTAACTAATAACATAAAAACATGAGCATTGTCCATGCTCATGGGGCGCCACGTGGTGCTCACTGTGTGCATACATTGCAGAATGTTTCAGTCAGAGCAAGTGTACTTATCTCCTCACACATTTCCATTGCTTGTGGTCTGGGCTGCCTGGTTTTGAGCAGGAGGCTTGGTCTGGCTAGGAGTGCTCCATGTTTCCCAGCTTGTGAGGTGTGTGGTTGCGCATGTGTGTTGGAGGGTTTCTGCCTCTGGGTCCGTCTTGATTAATACCATCTAGCAGCAACCTGGTGGAGAAGGCAAGGTTGGCAGTGCCCTGCTGGCTGGAGTGACAGCTGAACTCCAGGGTGGAGTGTTTACCCTTTGGCCTGATTCCATGGCCTGAAAAGGAATGGGATGCACAGCTCCCTATTTGCCTTTGAATAACTGTCCACGGGGGTGGGGGGGTGGGGGGGTGCACCTGGGATGAGCAGGGGTGTGATCTCCACAGCCTGTCCTGTGGCTGTTTGCACAGGACAGCTGAGCCCCTTGAGAGGGTCAGCTGGGGCACAGTGCAGTGGCTTTGCTTATGTGAGCAGTGAAGGCACCATCACCAGGCTCGGCCAGCGCTTGGTAAGCGACAGGGTGTGCCAGGCGGCCCCCGCAGGCCCTGCTCTCTAGTAGGGCACTTAGCCTTACTGAGAAGCTGCCAACCAGCAGACATTTCCACGCCCCCGCACCAAGATTTCCCTTTCTCAGCTTCTTATCTGTGCTCCCATGGCTCACCTCCCTGTCTGCATCCACTTCTTTCCTTTCTCCCCTCCAGAAATATAGCCAGGCACAGTAATCCTAGCATCCTGGGAAGCTGAGGCAAGATCACAAGTTCAAGGCCAGCCTCAGCAACTTAGACCTTGTTTTAAATGAAAAATGAAGGGGCTGGGGATATAGCTTAGTTGGTAGAATATACTTTATATACAACCACAGATATGAAAAATTATGCTCTATATGTGCACTATGAATTGTAATGCATTCTGCTGTCATATATAAAAAATATCAATAAAAAAAGGAAAACATAAGAAATGAGAAGGACTGAATATGTCTCTCAGTGGCAGAGCACTTGCTTAGTCCACATGAGGCCCTGGGTTTGATCCCCAGTACTGCCTAAAGCACCCCTTTAAAAAAAAAACAAAAAAACGAGCCCCACTGTTCCCTAACGCACACGTCTGTAAATGTACCATTTGTGTGTTAGTCAGCTTTCCATTACTGTGACAAAACAACTGAGAAAAACAACTTAAAGGAGGAAGGTGTTTTGGCTCATGGTTTCAGAGCTTTGAGTCCATAGTAACTGACTGTGGTGAGGCAGAACTTCATGGCAGGGAGCAGGGGTGGCCAGGAAGAGAGAAAAAAAGAGCATGGGGCAGGATACAGTAACACTTCAAAGGCATGCCCCCAGCAAGGGCTCCTCCAGCTAGGGCCACCTCCCAGTTTCTCCCCATCCCAACAGCACCTGCCTCTGGGGGAATTCCAGCCCCAGATGTCACACCTTGGCCTGCTCTTTGCTACCCAGCCTGGAGATTTGGAACCATTTTTGATGCTTCTTTGCATAGTCAACTTCTGCCAGTCCTTCTATATGTGTTCACCTAGGAGTGTTCTTCCCAGGTCAGTTCATGGAGCTGTTGGTGCGTGAAGGAATGGACGAGGCCACCTTCACAGGTGGGGGCGGGGGGGGTTCTGCCACATTTTCCACCTCTTCCACCACCTGTTTCCCAGGCTCTTGTCTCCGACCTCCTGAGGCCTGCTGAACACTGTCGTAATCCGGTTGGGCTGCTCTCATACTCATCCCCAGTCTCACCTCCATTCTGCACCCCCCCTTTTGATCTGTATGTAGCAGGTTCCCAGTACATATTTTTGGAATTGACCCCAAATTAGCACACTTGGCTTTTCTGCCTCTAGGACAGGTAGGAGGGTGGCCACCTGTGGTCAGTCTGTGTGCTGACCTTTCTATTGTTGCTTAGCAGTCTTCCCCCAGTGCCACTTGTTCCTCTCCCTCAGCTGGGCTGTGGTGTGTGGGGCCAGGCCATGCATGCTGTTATGCCCTCTGTCCCCAGTCCTCAGTCTTTGTGCTGCTAATGAGACAGGAGTCTGGGGAGAAAAAACAACTCACCCTTCCTAGAAGGACAAAGGGAGCCTGTTTGCACTGTCCTGCCTTTTCCGGGGCTTTTCAGGAGGAATGTGGGAGTGGGAGCCCCTGTGTCTGCCTTCATTAAAAGGAAGCCCACTGGGCTGCCCTGGGTGGGGGCAGGGGGACAGGCGTGGACAGTGGTGTCCTTGGCTTCCTGCCTTTCCTGTGGTGGAAACGATCTCACTGGGGTCCAGTGGATGCAGGGATGGGCACCCAGGACAGGCTCCAGAGGGACCCAGGCTTCCTTCAGCTGAGGTCTGTCGCCTCAACCCATGACCAGAGCTGATGCTTCAGGGGCTCTTTCACAGAGCACGGAGCCTGGCCAGGGTGGCTGGGCCTTCACCCTCCAACCCCGCGCCTGCTGATGAAGGGGCATTGTTCGCAGGGAGTCTTGTGAGCTTCCTGCTTCTGCTAATGACTTAATTAACAACAGGAAGCAACTCGGATGGAGTAAAGTTGTCAGTGCTCTGCCAGACACAGTCCTCTCCTTTGTCTTTTAAGAAGAAGCACAGAATGCACAAGACAGTTTATATGGAAGGTGTTCATTTTAGGGGGCAGTGTGTTTTCCTGGTCACATCCAGAGTGTCACACCAGGCTGCTCGTTCCCATTTGCTGGGAGGGAGCAAGGGTTTTTATCACTTACCAATAGGTAATTGACCCAGCCCAGGGTGACTGGTGGGAGTGATGCAGCACATCGAAGATCTCAGCCTACAACTCCTTTTGGTGGCTAGGGAGGCTCATTGGCTTGGGTGGGATTGTTTAAATGTGGTAAGGTGAGCCTGCCTCCGGTTCTGTGGGGTGTGTCTCTGGTGACTTGTTCACCTGGGAGTGTTCTTCCCAGGTCAGTTCACGGAGCTGTTGGCATGTGGAGGAATGGACGAGGCCACCTTCCCAGCTCCACTCCTCGTGCTCCAGAGGGCGTGTCCCTAGAGGCCTCTGTTGTAGACGTGTCCTAGGAAACCACAGCTCACCTACAAGCTGTGAGGACGAATGCAAGGAATAACTGACCAGCGCCGCTGTAGGAGGATGAAAGGGAGGCTGGGGTCAGCAGGGTCTCTGCAGAAGCCCTCGCCTAGGGTGGGACGTCCTTCTCCATCACTCCCCTGTGTCCTGGGCTCCTTCTGGGCAGTCCTGCCTCTGTCACTAGAACCCCTTCCAACCTCCCCAGTGCATCCTCCTAGCAGAGGCCTGTCTGCAGTCAGGCCTTGGCCTCTGCCTCTCCTGCCTTCGTGCAGTTCAGTTTATACCTGCTGCACTTCTTGGTCTGGCAGGGCTGGACAAGGTGCCTCTGCTGGTCACTCTGGAGTCAGAAGCTAGAGACAACACTTCACACAGGGCCGGGCTGGAAGGATCGTGCCGCCTGTCCTTAAAAGAGGCCCTTCTCCACTCGACCTCTCCCTCCCCTCGCACGTGCCTTGGGCAGAGGGCTCTGTCGCACACATTGGCACACATTGCGGGTGGAATTAGCATCTGTATGAGTTGTTTTCTCTTCCCCATATCAAGGGCTGTGACAAGCAGGAGACCCCATTTTGTTCCGCTGGCGCCCCCAGCCTAGCACAAGGCTTGTGCGCTCGGTGCATGTGGTGGAAGGAGGGATGGATGGGACGGAGCTGTGGCAGTTGGGATGGGACGGGCATCGACATGGCTTCAAGGGGAAAGTCAGCTGGGCGTGCACTCAACAGCACATCCCTCGCCATCCTTGCAGTGTCCCTGGAGAAGCAGGTGCCTGTTGGCCAACTGTGGATGTGACATCTGAGGTGGCAGTGAGCAATCCACGCCTGCTCTTCTTGTCCTTGGAGTTTGGTCTCACAGCGAGCGGGTTGCCCTGTCTCGGATGCTGAACTTCCCCCTGTGGGGTGGGAGAGAGCTCCTGGGCGGGCTTTAAGGCCTGAGGAGTCCATGGCTCCGACAGCCTCCCCGAGGGGGAGGACTGACTGCCTGGGAGCTGTTTCAAGAAGCTGCTCCTTTCAGCAAGGGCAACAAGGAGCGTCTTGTTCTGTCCTGGGCCCTGGGAGGGGCTGCTATGTCTAAGAGATGCCGTGGGCATCTAGGCAGCACGCCACACAGTGGATGGTTCCCTCTGGCCGTCTGGGCCCGTGGCAGGCTGAGGCCACTGGACACAGGGCTGGGGCTGTGCGGGGTCTGGCTCATGTCGCTCCCAGGTTCTGTGGCCAGGCGGAGGAAGGAGGCAGTGGTCCTCTCAGGTAGGACCTTGTAGAACCACCCGGAAGCCCTTTGCCTACAGACAGAGGCCAGACTTTCCCAAGCTGGGTAGGCCATCATTGTCCATAGAACGCCTGCGGATTACAGCTTCATACGCTAGCCTGGCAGAGCCCAGCCCGTTCCCTTTGAATTGAGCATCTGTCAGCGAGCGATGGTCCTTATGTGACCTCCTTGTTTCACAAGCACCTGCTGGGGATACCCCCTCTTGGATCCAGAGCAGGGTGCTCACCTAGGAGCGGGTACTCACCTCTCTAGGTGAGCAGTCAGAGCCAGGCCTGCTGACAGCGCAGTGTCGTGTTCTGCAGGGAGAAGAACGGGCTCTGCAGTAAGGAGCGGACGGTGATAGGTGTGACGGGCGCCTTGGTGCCCTAGGTGAGCTGCTTGCCTGGCACGGCAGGGGGATGCCCTTGGGGGAGTGAGGGTGGGTGGCAATGTCAGGAGACTTAGAGGCAAGCAGGCAGTAATGTCAGAAAACGCCTTCCCATGCATGAGCATGAAGCAGTCAACCATGCGGCGGTCCCTTCCTAAGCAGGAGGACTGTCACCCTGGAGGTTGGCCCAGTTAGGGTTGCTCAGAACTTCCACCTGGCCAGCGCCTCCTTCTCCAGGCTCTTGGGAGGGTGTAGGGAACACTAGACGTCCCCTACGTTGGGATGTGGCCAGTGGTGCCTGCACTGACCCGTGGGTTTAGTGTGTGCTTCTTAAAGGGTGTTGAAGTGTGCATTTGTGTGGTTTAATTAGTTGTGATTTGAGGTTTTATTTTCAAAATACAAAGCTGGGGCTGATTGTTAGGGAGCAGGGCTCACTCACGGGGAACTTTCGGTGTCAGTTCATTGTTTTATTTCATGTAATTATAACTACATCCCGTATTTTAAAAAGTCTTAGGTGTTTTGTTTTTTTTTCCTTCTTTTCCTGTACTCATGAAATCCTTGTAGAGCATTGGAGAAGAGTCTAAATAGAGTCAAAGCCATTTTATTCCAGAAAGGGTCATACTTAGCTGCCCGTCCTGCTCACAACATACCATGTTGAGTGTCCACTCTTGTTTCCCTGGGATGGGGGTCGTGTGTGAGGGGAGGGAAGCTGTGGACAGGGCTTGACCTGGAAGTCATCAGGTCCTTGTGAAACATGAGGTTTACCTTTGGAGACACTGAACACCCTTTTAGGAGGGTGCTCCATGTCAGTAATGATGTCTTGGTGTCATCAGCCCTTTACTAAATGGCAGACTGTCACCTGAGAAATGCCATTTAGCCAACAAGAGCTGAACCATGAGGGACCTTTGATGATGAGATTTTCTGCCTATTTGGGACTGTGGCCCTTACATTGCTTGTTTTGAAGGCCAGCCTCCCTTTTCTGGATGGGCGTGGCGGGGTGTCTGGAGCTCTGGCCATCTGCCCAGCGCCCTAACCCTCACTGTCTGCCTGTTCAGGAGTGAGCGGGCCCGCTGGATCACCGCCCTGGGACACAGCAGCGGGAAGCAGCCTCCAGACCGAACCTGTAAGTCCCTGAGGTAGCCTTCTGGGAGTGGGAGTGGCTGCCCCTTGCTGGACGCTGGGCCATGGGTGGTCTCCACCCCGACCTCTTGCTTCCCTCCTTCCCCGGGTGTCCTTCCTGAGCCTGTTCAGTCATCTGCAAGTCAAGAACATCATTTATGTTCCACATGGTTCCTGGGAGGGTGGAGGTGAACCCCCTGCTTGAACTGGCTGTAGTGAATGGGCATGTCCCAAGTTTAGTCATCTCCATAGCAACAGTTGGGATCCAAGCAGGAAGTTTTCAACCTAAAGATTCCTTTTGACCTCTGTTACATGGTAAAGTTAAGAACATGTGCTTTTTTTCCCCAGAGAACTGGGGGCCACTGCCGTAAAGGGTGGTGTCCTGTGCTTATTTTTAGCTCCTTAACTTTGGCATTAGGGATGATTCTGTTTGAAAGAGGGTCAAATCCAAAGAATTAGGTCATCAAAACAGGTTAGCCTGGAGCATCAAAAAATCAGCTTTTGGACAGAGTCAAAGCCTGATGGATCAGCCTTAAGTCAGATTTCATATTTGCAAGTGAAGGAAGAAGCCCTATCACCCAGCAGCACATAGCTGGGGTGTGGTTTTGTGTCATGCATCAGCATGGGGGAAGGAAACCTGGTAACATCCCCTATGCCTCTGGTTGGCGCTCTTATGATTCCTAGAGGTTGTCGCTTTCACGCGCTACTCCTGGTGGGATGGGGACACACTCTGGATGAGCCAGAGCACTGGGAGCTGCTGACTTGACCGTCAGTTGCATGGCTGTGGCATGTCACCTAATCTCTCGCCTCAGTTTACACAGGGCACAGTGGCCATTTTCTGCTCGTGTATGACATGATAGCGACTCCTGCTCCAGGGGACAAGGTTCTCAGGCAGCACAGGTGCTCTGGAGTCTGAGCTTCTGCAGTTCCTGAGCAGGACAGAGCTTCCGCTTCCCAGCTCTGTTCCTTAGGGCCACCCGGAACTGGTGAAGGCTCGGTCTAGTCTGTATCTGCAGCTTGCTGCTGCTCTGCCATTGCAAGCTCAGTGTGTCCTTTTCCCCCAGCACTGACCCAGGTGGAAGTCATCAGGTCCTTCACAGCCAAGCAGCCAGATGAGCTTTCCCTGCAGGTGGCCGATGTGGTCCTCATCTATCAGCGCGTGGGTGATGGTGAGTGGGGCGTTCCTGGACACCTGGGCACTGGTACAGACGAGGAGCCTTATCTAGCCGCGTGGCAAACCCCAGCACGGGAATGAGCCCCGGCTGCCACCTGGCTCCAAGGCTGCCGCTGCCTCCTCCCCATTCTTATTCCTTCTCTCTCCTGAGATTTCATTTCCTGCATTGGAAGCTTCTCAGGCCCTAAAGATGACAGGTGTTTGGGGACACTAATGCATTTGAAAGCTTTTACCAAAGTTTTTATGTAGCTTCTGAAAGGTCTCTTGAGCTACCTGCCGCCCCTCTAGCTACAGCTGATCAATTATCCACACATTTGCTTTTGAATTGGGACACAGGCACGAGAAGTTTGCTTTCCTTCCCATCCCCAGCGACCTAGTTCTCTCCAAAGGGTCTTCCTTACTTTCAAAAGAACCAACTCCCCAGCCCCCGTCTCTCCCCCTTGTGCTGTTCTTTCCCAAAGCACCCCCTGCCCTAGCACTGCCCAAGTTCTCAGACTCCCTGGACCTCCTTACCTCCAGGGCTCTGCTCACATCCTGTCCAGCAGTGCCATTCATCCTGTCCTGAAACCTTTCCTTCTCTCTCACCTCTGCCCACACACCTTCATGACCAGGGCTCCCACCTGCAGCCAGACCCTGCTTGAACCTGAATGGTCCCCCATCCTCCTCAGACCACCCCCTGCGTCTGGCTGGGTGCAGACTCTCTTCTTCCTTGCAGGCTGGTATGAGGGGGAACGGCTTCGAGATGGAGAAAGAGGCTGGTTCCCTATGGAATGTGCCAAGGAGATAACATGTCAGACGACCATTGACAAGAACGTGGAGAGGATGGGCCGTCTGCTGGGACTGGAGACCAACGTGTAGCCTCTGGATGGCCTTCTGTTACTGCGAGATTTGCACGTCGGGATGTGGGGCTGGTTGGTTCTGTGCCAGTTTCACTGTTAATTTTATCACAGCCTGTTTAATTAAAAGAATGAAAACCGTCGCCTTTAAGCTTGCCAAGTTGCTCTGCTCTCTCAGGAGAACAGCTTCCTGGCAGAGTTGGTCCAGGAAGCTGGGTTTCTACCTGCAGTCCCTGGCACAGCTCTCTGGGCACACAGAGCAGGCCCCTGGGGCTCCCGTGGACTCCGCTCTAGCCCCACTGCATTCTGGTATGAAGAAGTCAGGGACGTGAGATGCTGGCCTCTGGCCTAAGAACGTAGCCACGCTCCATTCAGCATCTCCTTCACGGGGCTTTTCCAGGATTAGCGGTTTTGTCTTTAAGGAATGCCCACTTTTGTAAATAATTTTCCCTGCCTCGAGTTCATTTCAGAAAAAACCTGGGGTTTCAGAAAGTAAGCTGTTGTGTTTTCTAAACCTCTTCCTCCAAAAAAGGGAAATTGACACTTGAAGTGTTGCCACTGTTTTCCTCACTACAAGGGAAGTGAGGAAGCTCCCGTAGGAAGTTTTTGGTAATCCATTTCATTCACTGTTGGTCCTCGAAAAGTACAGTTTAATAAAGCTAAGTTACTTGGCGTAACATAGAATTTACATGGTTCACATGTGAGGAAAATCGTAAACACAGGACAGGGATCCTGCTTTTTTTCATGTTGCCCAAAGAGCTATAAAAAAAACTGACCTAAGGCTGCTTAGCCTTCAATGATGCGTGGACTGTTCCCACCTGTTTCCGGGTAGGAAATTGGCTGGAACGTGCTTTAGCCGTCTCCAGGAAGAGAAGTAAAGCCTTGGAGGTATCCGGAAGCTGGCGTGACACTTACTTGAATGGTTCTGACCTTTGCACCAGTAGCCTTGCTTGCTGGGCTTGCAGTCTCTCTGAACCATGAGTTTCTGCAAACTTACTTTCTTTCACTAGTGCAAGGAGAGACAAAGGTCATTTAAGTGCCATTTTGTCAAAAGGGAGCAAGGGTTTGGAAAACTGGGATGTGAGATGGGAGGGGAGAAATGATTTTTACTGGCAGCTCCATTTCCCTTTCTATTCCATTTTCTTCAACAAAGGGATGAAATCTGGCAAAGTAGATATTGCTGGAAGACCGAGACCTGTGTCTGATGTGTCCCAGATGCTGTCTGCTGACCAGTCACTCAAACTGTAAGGCCCCAGTAGGTGTGTGTGGCTCACAGGCCCTCCCTTCTGGGCAGTAAACCAGGGTGGACACCCTTGAGTTGTTCGTCACCTGTGCATACTTTCTGGTTCTAAAAGACATTCCAGATCCCAGTTCCTTGAGGCTGATCAGTCTGTGAATGAGGCAAGAGCAGCCCACAGCAGGCTCAGTCCTGGGCTCACAGAGGAAGCCGCTCCTCTTTAATGACATCACAGACTTTTCAGAGGAGAGGGAATGAGTGGAAGTAGCTAGTGTCACCTTTTCTTTAGGAAGGAAGGTAATTTTGTTGCTTACAAGGGGATCCTTTTTTCATTATCTTTGCTAATATTGAGTTGAAGCTAAAAAGCAACTGCATGAATCCTGTGAATTAATTTATAAGTGGAAACGTTGAGCAGTTTTGGAAATGTGGGCATTTTATAAATCAAAGCAGGAGCTTAGTACTGTTAGGGAAGGGGTGGCTGTGTGGCAGATATTTGACTCATTCACAACAGGGTTTCCTTTCAACCGTGAATTGTTTTTCATGTGACACAGTATTTTTTCTCCAACCCAGTTCAGTTTCTTTGAATACCTTCTCTGAATTGTACAGTGACCATTCATGGAAAACAAAAATGTCGCTTTTGTTCCAGTCAGTTGAGACTGCTTGTACACATTCAACAGAATTTGTGAATTTATATAAAGATTTTGGATAGACCTGTCCTCTTGTGCTGGTGTGACTTCATTCAGTTCTGTAGCCAAGCTGGTGGTTTTCTGTGGCTAACACTGTAGGGACGCATCTGTTTTCTGTGGGCACATCCTGGCATCAGGTGCCCTAGAAGACTGGAGCATTTTTTTGAGTTGGGTCATGTGCTGTTGACACAAAACTGCAGGACTGAGTAGCTCATCTCCATAGCACCCGGGTCCTCTTGCCTCCGGAGATTCATCTTGGCCACCCGGCATCTGATCCTTTGTTTTGCCATCCTGTCCATCTTGGTGAAGGCAAATGGAATCCTCCTTTATTTTCTGTTGCCACATAATGAATTACCACAATCTCCATCAGGTAAAGCAATCTCCATTGGCATCTCGCAGTCCTGTGGTCAGGACAGCACTGCCTCTCAGTTCCCAGTTCCCAAGGCTGAAATCAAAGTGTTGGCTACTTCCTCATCTTGACACTCAGTGTCTTCAGTCAAGCACACTGCTGTCACAGAAGAATTCCTTCCTTGGGTTTGTAGACCTGAGGTCCCTATTTCTATGCTAGCCATCTGGGGCTACCTGCAGGGAGCTCCTAAGGCCACCCCTATTCCTCCCCATGTGTCTCCTCCCATCTCCAAGGCGTGATGCTTCTCACACTTGGCATCTCTATGCCTACAAAGGGAGAAGACTGTCTTTAAAGAGCTCACATAATTAGGTTGGGCTAGAGGAATAACTTCCTCAATGATTAACACTAGATGCAATTTCAGCGGGCATCATCTTTTCAAGCACACGAGATAGTCACACTAGGCTGTTTCCTGGGCCACAAGGCAAGTTTCAACAATTTTTAAAGGACTGATTTTATAAAGAGTTCTTTGACTGCAATAAAATCATGTTAGAAATCAGCAACAAAAATATCATTCGCTTGAAACTTAGACCTAAATGGAAAATGCAAGACCATAAATCCATAAAAGATGAGACAGGAGAAAACCTAGGTGACCTTGGTTTTGGCAATACATAACACCACCAAAAGCACAATCCAAGGAAGAAAAAGCTCGTGTAAACGGAATAAAAAGACAAGCCCCAGAGAGGGAGGAAATCTTTGTAAATCATAATTGATAAAAGGTTTTCCTCCAAGACATAAGAACTCTTGAAACTCAACAATCAGAAATCAGCTAGATATTTACATAATAGGAAAATAACTGCATCATCAGATATACAGGTAGCAAGTAAGCATATGGAAAGATGCACACCATCAAGCCAGGGAACTGCAAATTAAAACAAGAGACCCCTTTAGATATTGTAAGATAGCTAAAATGTTAGTGCTTAATCCCCATCTGTTTTCTTCTCTCTACTGGAGATGGAACCCAGGGTCTCCTGCTGCTCTACCACTGAGCTATACTACACCCCCCACCCATTTTTTTTTTTTTTTTTTAAAAACAGTGTCTCGCCAAATCACCCACACTGACCTCAAACTTGCCATTCTCCTGCTTCAGCCTCCTGAGTAGCTGAGCTTATAAAGGTGCCCCCCCTGTGCCTGGATATTAGGATATGAAGTAGCAGGAACTCTTATTCACTACTGATTGGAATGCAAAAGCCACTTGGAAAGACAGTTTAGCAGTTTCTTATAGAATTAAACACTCCTACCACCATATGATCCAACAATCACACTCAGTTACCCAATTGCCCGAACTTGGAAGCAAGCAAGACATCCTTCAATAGTGGAAGGATAAGCTGGTACCTCCATATAATGGAATATTAATCAGTAGTAAAAGGAATTAGGCCTAAAAAGACAGGAGGAAACACGGATTGCTCAATGAGAGAAGTTGATCAGAAAAACTGCACACTATGATCCCGAATACATAGCATTCTGGGAAAGGCAGACTACAGGTAATGCTTGTGGGTGGCTCCGGGAGGAAAGGAGGAACAGGAGGAGGACTGCCACAGCAAGTATAGCAATGGTGGATGCACGCCAGTGTACACTCCCCAAAGTGTACAACAAATGGTGATCTCTGAACTGTGCACTTTAATAATAAAGTATTAATATTGGTTCATCAATTATAAAATACTGCATAATAATGTAAGGAGTTAATAATGTAAAGTGGCCGCGAAGGTTCTATGGAAACTAGGTATTTTCTGCTCTAGATGGCTTAAAGTGAAATTATATCTTCTGACATGGATCTCAATGAATGTATATAAAGGAAATATTTAAGAAAACTAAATTATGGGAAAAAAAAAAAAAGGTAAATGTGCCTAAATGGTGGCAAGGTTCTCAGACTTCACTTGAAGTCTAGTGGGCTACAATACTGTAATCTATACAGCAGTGGCAACTAGAACACACCAACCAGGGCAGGGAATATTACAGTTCCCAGGTAAACCACAGGAAGGTGGGAAAGGGAAACAGGAATAAAAAAGGGGCAAACAGGAAATGAAAACAAGACGGCAGACTTCAGTCTGCCATGCGTCAAGGAACACAAAATTTGAGTTCTCTGATACTTTGGCAGACAGTGACTGAGATTTTTAAAATGACCTAACTATATGCTACCTGAAATACATTTAAATACAATTACATGGGTAAATTTAAAGTTAATGAAAAGAAAAATATATCCAGCAAATACCAATTTAAAAGAAAAAGCTTAGAGTGGTTTTATTATTAGCAGATGAACTTCAATTTGCCAAGGACAGAGGAACACTGCTTAACAATAAAGGGTCAATATACCAAAAAGATATAATGATCTTAAATGGGCATGTACCTGATAAGAGATGCAAAATACATGAAGTAAAAACTAACAGAACTAAAAGAAAAATACAAATGCAGAACACCTAGGAATAGGGTCTAACATTTACAGCACACTCTACCCAACAACAGGTTCCTCATTCTTTGCATGTAGCTAAGGAACATTTACTGAGGTACATCGTATTCTGAGTCATAAAACAAAACATTGAAAGAAACTGAAATCACACATAGAATATTCTTTGACCAAAATGGAACCAAGCTACAAGTTAATAACAAACAAAAAAGGAAAATCCCCAAACACCTGGAATTTTTAAAAAGTACATTCCTAAAAAAATCTCTGGACCAAAGACTAAAATATTGAA